TCGCTCAGATGATGACCAACGAATTTATTGAAAGTATGCACGTGCCAATAACACGCCACGGGTACTACACTTCAAATCGGCAGTTGCTCAATCTTATTGTCAAAGAACAATCGAATATGAATATAATTCAAGGTTGTTTGAATGTAACTGCTTTTTATCGACCTCGTAAAATCAACAAATATGCGCGTTTTTGTACAGCGAGCTCATTAATTGATTAAAACGAGAGTAAAAGACAAGTTTATATACATATAAGTTGCAAAGATCATTTTTAAGATACTTAAATTTTAATGGATTTTTATGGCGTTACAGAAATAATGACCTAACCAATATATACTTATGTATACAGGGTGATTCATGCAACTGTTACAAGTCCATCTTTTTTCTGGTTGAAGTTAAAAAACTGCTACAGGACAAAAATGAATAGTATAATATCTTGCGTATATTCACAAACGGATTTTTCGTACGTGCAATAGTACACATACATTCGGCAGTTATAATATTTTTTAAAAATTGGAATCTACTTTTTTCTTCGTGTGAGTTAAACCCATGAAATCAAATAAAATCAAATATATTCCTGAAAATTGCTTTAAGAATCAGTAATTTCAATATCATTAATGATATTGAATAATGAAACTCAATAAGTAGTTTCAACTGATATCTACGTTAGAAATTGAAAATGTTAAATAATTCATATTGAAACTATATACACGTATAAGATGTTTTTGTCACAAAAACTAACAATTTAATATTATTGATGCATTTCGATATACATACGTCCATACATATAGATAAATGTTATTACAGATGTAAAATAAGCATTTCGATATGAAGTATCTTTCATGAATGATAATAGCAATTAGGGATGTTTGCAAATATTTTAATTATTTTTAAAAGTAAGAATATTTTTAAAATATTTTAGAATAATTCATTAAAATAATTTAGATGAATCATTTCTACAATGTCCATTAAGAATGTGATATTTTATAAAAATTGCATACCTTTAAATTTCGCCCTACTTAAAGCAGTGCAGTCTTCATTCACTAATTAATTTCAACTAGAAATATTAATTTGCGCAACTAACTTAATAATTTGTACAAGTAATTTGAGTTCGGTATACACGTAAAGACTTTGTCCTTTGAACAAGATTTTGAATTACAACACTTTGTTAAATGATTACGTTGTCAGTGCTACTATCTACTAAATAGGATCAGCCAACCTGCCAAGAATCCTCCAACACCTTTGAAGCTAGTTTGATAGTAAATTCGTGTTTGATCAGAATTCCATCATTTAACTACCTATCTCTCGAAACTTTAGTCGACGCCAACTTTACTTTATTAGGATACTTGTCTTCCGTCTTTACACCACGGAAGTTCGCAGTTTATCCAAGTTGAAGTATCTTCAGCATGATAATGATATAACATTTGTAACAGCTTATCAGTTTGAGTTACCATTGCAAATAGCATATAGAAATCTTCTTCTGTATAAAATGCAATAAAAATGAAAATAAAATCTGACGATTTTTCTCATTATAGAATGAAATTTATTTTTCAAATTTTAAGAAATTCAGTAAAATTCAGTTCATAAAAATAATTGCTTCTCTGTTGGTATAATTTTATAATAAAGAATTTTATACATGCACCGAGTGTTCCTGGTTTCCTGTATATCCGCTGGAATCCCAAGCGGCGCGATCGCGCTTCGCCATTACACTGCCTAAAAGTGCCAGTCTATCTTATTTATTTATTTGTTTTCCTTCTGATTATTCATTCTTATTTTTGTTATTACACGCTTAGAACTGGAAAAATGTAACGATTGCGCTATTTAAAATTTATTTTTGTAAAAATAGAAAAGCGTCATTCAATTTCTGAATTGAAACGAAAGAAGTATTTTTCGAGTGGGATTTGCGAAAATCGATGGGACTCAAACAGATATATAAGTTCATACATGAATTACTATGAGTAAAACGTTATTAAACAAAATATGAAATTGCATCGAGCTACCTTTTCACTTGATACAGCAGAGTGAGAATTTATTGGCAAACTTTCAAACCATAAATTGCATTCTACATTGTACATTTCCTTGTTTAATAATTTCATTTTTTTAAAGAATTTTTAAATTATTAGTTCCAGCCAGTTTGTAAAATTTAATATCTTAACCCTAATATTATATCAATATTAACACTTTGTTTCGACATGTTCAATATAACCTTACAAATTGCATATTATGAATAATTATTAAGTAGTTAATTTAAAAAATGTCGTGTGTGAACTCAATCAATTTTCAAGACTGAAACTGAATATACTTCTATATCTATGGACTTAAAATTGAGGTCTTTCTTAATTTTATATTTTAAAAGCTAAATGTTTAAAAGAGTCGGTCAATGCAAATTGGTAATTTTAATAGAGCAATATATCACTGTATGGTAACATATAGAACAATATATCACTGTTTTCCTTATCACGTTGCATTTGACGTCTAAAACATAATGTAAAAGTAAAAGGAGGTGAAGAAAACGATTTTATTGATAACACTTACAACTCTTGTTATCGGTAATTAATTCGCTGATGTGTGGTATTTTATAGAATTTGATTTTTAAATAATTTTCCTTGAAAAATAATTTCGAGAAAAGTGTATTCTATTAGAATCCTACAGAAGGATATATACATTTTTTTTATACAAATAGATGTCATTTATGATGCAAATGTCGTATTTTATTATATTCATAATTGACTGAAATTCGTTGTCATTTATGTACCGGAATAAGGTGAATCACATAAATATATCTAACCTTTTCAGGTATATAAAATTCTGTAAACAAAACAGTTTAACTATCTGTGCTAGAATAGTGATCACAATGAATAGATTTTTAAATGAATAATTAATATGTATCTGATGATTGTATAGGAATTTGAGTACTATTGCAATTGATGACAAAAAGAAAATATAACCAACAATAATGTGAAACTGATCCCTGATCAATTACTCTTTGCTGTTATAGTAGAGAGTTAAATCCTCAATGAGAATTGAGGACATAATAATACATCTATTACACATATATGTAGATACTGTTCATAGTAGAAAATAATCAATTAAAATAGTGAACATGATTGTTGAAGTTATTATTTCTACGTATATTAAAAACAAAGAATAGTATTGCGTGTATCTATTAGGTACCGGAAAAAGTTCGTGTGATTTTCTTGTTAGCAATGAATTGAGGTTCCAATTAGTATATTAGGTAAAGGCACCGGTAATTAATCTGGTATCAGTGGTTAACCAGTTTTCGGGAAAACATAAAAAATAAGGTTTTTAAAAATAATAATGTTTCGATAAAGGCACGGTAGATACGCTGCAGCGTCCACCGACCCAAGCCCGACACTCTTTTACCTGAATTAAATTGGTTATCATAAAAACTAACAATTTATTGCATTAACGTTGGTAGATGCCTCCAATTTTCAACATGGCATTAACTTCTTATCATTTGTATTTGTCCTTTTACTTATAATTCGTTACAATCGTTGCAAATAAACGATATTAAAAATCACTGAAAATTAATATTTTCACTTACATAATGCAAGAGGTTAATACTATAAACAAAAATGTTCATTAAAAATTGTCAAATGATTTTCTTAACATCTAGATTTAACAAATAAATGTTTATATTCCTTTTTACAATAACACTTTAGTAACGCATGATGACCATTGCCGCTATATCTGGTTCTAATAGGAATGAAAATATTTTCCACATTAAATAAAACGAATAATTGTCATAATAAATCTGGCTTTCTTTGTCCCAACCCTTACTGTCAAAAATAACAGTATTATTCATTTCATCTAATATGTCGATATGAAATACTATATTTCTGTTATCGATATTAACAATCAGAATGAAGACTTATCTGTTATAAACGTAATACGTTTTCTTTTATAGTAAATTGTTAATGAAAAAGTAGTTAACGACAAAACAAGTGCGAGAGAAATCGTCAGGCAAAAGATTAACGATACAGATAAATGACACGTACCAATAGCGCGTAAATTCGATTCTACTAATACGTGTTTACCGGTTCTCGTTTATTTTTTAGTACGTCCATTAAATCGGATACCTATCTATATAAAAACACAGAGAAGACAAACATATTTGTAATAGCAATATCTCAATTTCATTTGAAAACGATCAATCTATACATGTGTCTAACTATCAAAAATATCTTTTATTACTTATTACGTTACAGAGAACGAAGAATATCTTTTCTGTTTCTCTTTTCCTTCCCCTTGTTGCCAAATTGTATAATTTCGAAAGCTGTAAACATTCTTTCGATTGTGTAACTGCAAATTCATATAAAAAACAGGTAAGAGTAAATGGTATTGATATAGAAATACATGATACTTAATTCAAACCGTATTAGAAACTAACAAATTGCTTACATTGTGAATGCAAAAATGTGTTTACGTAATCAAAAAGAACATATATAAACTTTTAACCCATTCGAGACTAACTGCACATCAGGCATGTAACTCAATAAATACCTAGGCGAGAAGGTAAAATTGTCTTTAAATCAAATAAAAATTGAAGTTATGTACAAATTAAAACTTATATTGATTTATTCATAGTATTAATTTCTTATCTTCGAAACATTTTTTCTTTTCTAATCTTTCAATATGTCAACCAAAAA